AAATTTAAAATGATACTATTACCGTTGTCTCAGTAATTCCTGGGATATTATTGCTCTTGACAAGCCTCCTCATGGCACTTTTCCCCCCCACAGGCGTCTAGAGACGGAACTGGAGCAGAGAACAGAAGCGCTTCAAACCACGCAAGATTTGCTGAAGCAAAAAGAGGCGGAGGTTAACAAATTCCAGCAGGAGCTGCAGACATCCAAGGATGCTTTGTGGAACGTGGAAAAGATGTTGGAGTACCAAAATCTGGAGCTCCAATCTGCACAAAGGTCAGTCATTGACACGGAGAAGCAAATGAAGTCGGCCCGCCAAGAAGTTGAGGACTCCCAGACGACCGTCCGTCAGCAAGAGGCCGAGCTTACCCGGCTGAGGGAGGTGCTCAGGAGGACGGAGAGGGAACTCGACGAGAGGGTAGCGCATCTTGAACAGAAGTGTCTGCTCTCTGATGAAGAGAGAGGTACGTTCATCTCCTCCTGGTGCCCAATGTCTCGTTGGGTTATGTAAAGATTCTTAGTTTGTGTGAGAGGAATATCTTATTTGGTTTCAGGTAAGGCTCAGGAGGAAGGGTTCAGGAAAGTGGAGCAGCTGAAGAACGAGCTGATCGTCTTGCAGCAAGCTAAAAGAGATGAAAGGAAGAGACAGATCCAGCTTGAGCAAGAACACTCGGCACTCGCAGAGGAGCTGGCCAAAGAAAAGGTTATATACACATTAACCTCTTCTATAGACCATACACCGAATGACTGCTAGCTGTAGTAAATGTCTGTTCCTGTTGACATCTGCAGGCGCTGGTGGACTCTCTGACTGTGCTCGTGGAGACGGAAAGGGAAGAGACCGAAGAGCAAATGAGACGGCTAAAAGAGGAAATGGAGGAGGTGCTGGGGGAGCTGGCCGTGATGGAGGAACAGGAGCAGATACGGCTGGAGGTGGCCCAGAAGAGCCAGGAGGCCCTTCAGAGCCTGCAGCGGGACAAAGAGGAGCTGGCGAATCAGCTGAGGGAAGCAGAAGCCCTTCTGGAAAGGTGGGTGAACAACAGCCAGAGACGATGCTACGATATAAGCCAACAATCTGTGGCACAGGTTAGACATAAAAAGATTGAAAATCAAAAGTAGGGTTGAGCAAAGGGTACCTGAGGCTGTTTCCTCTAACTGCAGCTGATCATCTTCATATTTTCCAGAGCATTAGTCGCGTGGAGAGACAAAAGTAAGTCGCAGGATCAAACAAAATATGAAAAAAGTGCAACTTATCAAGAAAATGTTTTAACTTCCCTTTTCTGTTTTGCCACTATCCATCCATATATCCATTCTAGGGTGTTTACTTTTTGTGCCAAGACATCAATCCGTTTTGATGTTCAACACAGCATGCAGTCCATATGTGGGCGTTCATTTCTGTTTTAGGGACATGAGGCTTAAAAAGTCTTATCATAAAAGTGCGTTTTTATCTGCTTTGCCTCTTTGAAGCTGTTGAAAATTTTGGTTGTGATTTAGTTTCACACTTTCTTGGCTTTTTCCTGTACTCTGGCTTGATTAAAATGTACTCTTTAACGATCTATTCCCCTCTGCCTTTGCTAGGAGCAGTGATGTGGCAGCGATGAAAGCGATGCATCTTGCAGCAGTGAGTGAACTCCAAGAGGCATATAACAACTCGCAGAAAAAGATTGAGGATTTTGTCACAGAGCTGGAAAGGTGAGCTCCTCATGAGTGTCGGCATTTCCTGGCGTTCCTTTGCTTTAAAGTCACTTTGATTTATGTTGCCTTTAAACTTTAAGTTCTGTCGGCATCCCGGCTTCACAGAAGGCTTGTCTTCCTTTTCAGCACCAGAGAGGCTCTAAAGGAAGCTAAAGGAAGACAGAGAGAACTGGAAGCGGAGGTGGGGAGAGTGACCTGCCAGCTGAAGGAGGCGATGGACAAAATGGTTGAACAGAAAGAGGAAGAGATCAATAGAGTGAGGGGGTGGACGGACGAGCAACAGGAGAGACTGCAGGCTGAAGCAAAATCAAAGGAAGAGAGTTTAAGGTATACTCAAAACCACGGCTTGGCAACATTGTGCAAAAATAAAATCTCAGATTTTTTTTTCAGTTAGAAAAGACAAATACTTTCAAAAAGTGGCTTTTATTTCAGGCATCCCTTCTGTGATTTGTACGACTCAGTCTTGGGGCCAGACTACAAGAATTTGTAATTTTGAGAATATATATTAACAGAATAAAGATGCAGTTATGCCAAAAGAATGTCTTAAAATTGCAAGAAAAAAAACTTGTTTAGATTAGGAGGGGAAAAAAGTTTCTGGAATTATTAAAATGTGACGCAAATAGCTCAGCCGAACTAAACCTTGGTTTAAACTTATGGTTCTGCTAAACCGACTATTCCCAACCCTGTTTTGTTCTAACTTGATTTGTTCATCTTTTAGGGCGCTGCATGAGGTTCAAACTTGCCTTGCTCAAAAAGAAGAGGAGGTGAAGGCTGCGCAGGCGAGCCATGCAGCTCAACTCGACCTGCTTCAGAAGGAGCTACAGGCGCAGATGAGCGAGAAGGAAGACGCGCTGAGACTTTTAGAGGAACAGAGACAGGGTTTTTCTGAGAGGGAGAAGTCCCAGAAGATGCTGGAAGACCTTAGCTGGCAAAAAGAAGAAATATCTCAGCAACTCCAAGAGGAAAGAGAAGCGAAATTAAAACTCCACGTGGCCCTTCAGGAGGAAAAAGTAGCGTTTGAGGTTGAGCAGAACAACCACGAGCAGCTCAGGTCGGAGGTGCTTAAGCTACAAGCTGACCTGGAGACGCTAGACCAGGAAAGGAGGAGTCTGCTGTCGGAGGTGGAACTTAAAAAGGACTCCAGCCACGCGCTCGAGAATCGGCTGAGCGCCGCCGAGCGGGACAGAGATCAGTTTCAGGCTCGCCTGGACGACGTGGAGCAAGAAAACGCCGGCCTGCGGGCCCAATTAGAGCGCTCGCGGGAGAAAGCGGCGGCTCTGGCGCACGAGTTGGACAAGCAGCAGCAGCACGGCAGCGCTCTGAGGGAGCAGCTGGAGGCACTGACTCAGGAGAAGGTCACTCTGCAGTGGGAAATGGAGGAGCAGCGACAGGAACTCCAAAGACAATTAGCCGAAGCGCAGGAGAAAAGGTGAGCGGTAATGAATATTTCTCTCTGATGTGGAGCTCGTCTTCTTTCTCTTAAATCTGCAGTTTTGTAGCTAATCACGCCTGTCTTTGAAGCTCCCCGCACTCCGAGATGGAGCGCTGGAGGAAACAATACGAGGAACTGTTCGTCAAAGTCACGCCCTTCCAGGTCAGCTGATTTTATTATTATTTTATTTTATTTTATTTTTTTCATATAGCAAAAAGAACCGTTCCGGAAGAATGCAACAAAAAAAAAACCCTCGCCGTTTTCATGGCACGGAGGTTACTCCTTGTCAGTTTTTGTATCTGCAGATGTTAATTTGTCAAACTAAATAATACTTGTGTTGGCGCGTTCCCACAGGAGCAGCTTAACGCATTTGCAGCGGAGCGAGATGCGCTGCTTAATGAGAACGGAGCGAACCAGGAAGAATTAAACAAATTAGCCGACGCTTACGCTCGCCTCCTGGGGCACCAGAACCAGAAGCAGAAGATCAAACATGTGATGAAGCTCAAAGATGAAAATATCTCTCTGAAACAGGTAAAATGCTAGAGCGGCGCTGTCTCTCCTACAAAGGGCATTTTTTTTATTCCTTCTGGTCTGTTTTTGAGCATAGAGGTGCATTATTAAACATTCAGAGCTTAAACTCTTGTCCACAAAGGCATATCTGTTTATTTATCCTTATTTATAAATTTGTTTAATAGAGGATACTTTGTATATCTGAGTTGTCTGCAGTACACTCAAGTTTCGGTTTGGACGGCACCACAAATTTTGAATCGGGAATTGTTAATTTGGTGAATTCAACAGCTGTGACCCATAGAATTAATGCGCCTTGTCCCTGCACATATGCTGATGTCAGCTTTTCCTTCCACTCAACTTTCCATTAATATTCTTGGATACAGCACTTTGTAATCTTGCCATATCTGGCTTACCCTCCTATTGGTGACAACGTCCTGTCACCAATTGTGTGTGTCTATATAAATTTCTGAGAAACTCTGTTTATTAGCTAGAATCCATAAATCACAAAAATCAAAAGTAATGTCTACTTAAAATGCATTACTCTGTTTAGTGAGTGGCTTTGAAAGGGTCCTCTTTTTGATTTGAAATGATTGGAATCAACTTTTCAATGGTATTTTGACACATCGAGCGGCACCTACAGTCCTCTGCTGTTTTGTAGGAAGTTTCTAAGCTTCGCTCCCTTGTGAGCCGCCAGAAGAGCGATTTGGAGCAGCTGAGAGCAAAGCTGCCCGGCGCTCCTCGTCGCAGGTTTGATCCCAGCAAGGCCTTCCAGAACAACAAGGAAAACATTCAGACTGACACAAATGATCCTCTTGGAGAAGGTGAGCTCCGAGCTTCTCTACTCGCTTGGTTTTCGTTTGCCGTGACTGCTGGTTTCTGATCCTAATTGTTTTTTGTTTTGTCTTAGGAAACCACAAAGAATAGGGGAGTTGAAGAATGGAAAGCGAAAAGGAAAGACAAGTTACTGGTTTTTTCTCTGCAATGCACTTAAAATTTAATCATAGTTTCAACAGGTTTTTGTTCAAGTGGTTGAACAAAAACAAGATGTGTCTGAATTGGATAACTGAGCTCAAAACATGTACATAAAATGTATCTTTTTAAAATATGTAGTTTAAAGGGTCTTCTTTAAATATGGTGGATGTAAATTCGTACTTTGTAAATAAAGATTTTCTTTTTTCTTTTTATTCCTTCACACCAATGCATTTGTGATTCATTCGCTTCAGGGGTTTTTGTTTGCTTCATCTTTGCCGTGTCGCTCCTCCGCCAGTAGAGGGCACTCCAGGACCGCAGCCGCCGGCTGCAGCCCACTTTTCACCGACACCAGCTGACAAAGAACACAAATTCCATCATTGCAGAGAGGAGCCTCGGGTTATGGGTCATGAAGCTTTATTTCCTTCACTTGATAAGACAGCCAGCGAGTGTCGGGGACAGAAATTGACTTCCGGACCTCTTCACAAGCTATGAGTAGTGCTGGCCGCGGAGTGGTCAGTTGCAGTAGTCCTCCAGGTGGTGAATGCTGCACGGCTTATGGCAGCACTGCTCCACGATGCCTCTCTTCACCTTGGGCTCGTCACGGGCAGCCAGAACCCTCCGCAGCCGCTCCTCCGCTCTGGCCCTTTTCGCCAGGAACCCTTTGAAGTAGAGAAAGTTCCCATACCTCCGCGTTAAAATCCTACTGCGCTCCAGCCATAAAAAAAAAAAAAAAAGCTGAAAACACCATTACTGTTAAGACTCACATGGAAAGTCGACATGTAGAAAAATATTGATTGCAGCAATCCATTTAGCCTTGTTAGTTTCTGCCTCAACAGTGAGTGGGGGGGTGGGGGGATAAAAATGATGACGCACCAGCAGAAGCATAGCATAACTGATGCACCCTGATGTTAGCTTCAAAGCATCAGCAGAACGTTTGAGGTGGAAGATCTAAATAATGTGTTTAGGGAATAGCTTAATGAGGAATGTTGGGATTTCACAGGATTTGTGATGAATGGATTTGTCACATAACAGAAGTTTAAAGCGATCCTAAACCAATTGCATGTCTTTATAAAATAAGCCGCAGAATGACTTAATGATGGCCTGGACCAATGGTTGCATTCAGTTCAGTGTCGCCTTCAAAAATAAGAAACAACTTTCCTAAAGCCATCAAATGTGGCTCTTTCTTACTATTAGGTTTGAACTTTTCAATACAGTGTGCAAACAGTGTGGGTGAACAAAGCCAGACTGGGGGGAGGGGGGGGTCGTCAGGCAAAGTCATGCTGTTAATTTTCGAACTCCCGCCACGAAAGGAAGCAGACAAACTTACTTTCTGCAAATCAGAAGTAATACTTTAAAAAAGCAAAGAAAACTTCCCAGAGTTGAGGGGTAGTTTTCAAGTGAGATTCTGTGAACAGGTAAGTTCCCTTACCTGTCGTAGAAAGATGTCGCATCATAAGATTACATAAGACAAGCTCTGGTGTGTTGACCCCCTCAACAAACCAGAGCTACACTGGATGATGTAGATCAAAGCATCTTTACTTTGAAATGGCCTAGTTTAAGCCCAGACCTAAATCATATTTGCTTTCTGCAGTAAAGACCTATGAACCAACGTTCACAGTTTCTGTCCATTAAACCAGACAGCAGCTGTTTTGCAAATACAACTGGTTAAATATTACAGCCTCTGTCTGTGCAAACATGGTGAAGGTACTGACCTTGCATGCCACACCTTGGCATGCAAGAATTGCATTCTTTTAAAATGCTGATCTTTGTTCGTGTTTCATTTTGCGTCTTAAAATAGAAAGCCTATTGTAAAGTTAAATACAAAAGCTGCTCTTGGAGTTAAAATGATCGTTTAAATGATTAAATGAAGTACATTCTCCAGAAACTTACAGCAACATGCCGTCATCTTGACATTGGTACTATTACATAACCGACCCTCACTACAACCAAACCACCTCTCATATGCATCCGTACCAAGCAGATTCTCCAGGTCCCGCTTGTGGACTCGGCTCGGACTGTTGTAAAATCCTCGCTCCCCACAAATGAAATAGAGGGCGTCGACCAGGTGAGAGCCACACAGGTGCTGGTTTGGGGCCAACGAGGCCCCTGGAGAGTGGAGCACAAGCAGGAACAGCATGGAGAATGTCCATGGTACCCTGGCCATATAGGAGGAGGGCACCGCTTGGACAGAGAACAAAATGGAAATAATTCATATAAAACAATAGAAGTTAGGTTTCAACAGTGCACCAGTGAATCCACATATTCACTTATAATTCATGGACTGAAGAGAAAATAAAGTGTTGATAAAGCCTAATTAGATTTTTTTTTTCCCCAGACACTTTATTCTCGTAAAACTTACAAATATTTTGCAAACAGTCTGTCACATTCTTGCAGGTTAACCAGGCTTCTAGTAGAGCAATAATAGCACACAAGATCAGAATGGCATGCCAATGCAAATACCACACTTCAAAGCAGGCAGGCAAACAATGTAAGCATAGCTTTTTGTTATCTGATATCAAAGGAATGTTTTAATGAGATCTTAGAGAACAGTTATTGCATCAAATTAGTCAAAAATCTTATTGTGCATGCTAATGGAAGATCTTCAAAAGTTCAGAGAGAAAAAGCAGCATTTTAGGCACACCTGCTTTTTATGAGCATTGTCGTAAATGGGAACAATATAAATATAAATCACCTGGGGGGGAGAATGTTCACTTTCCATATATAAAAAAGGAGAAAATAAATGATTCTAAATGGCTCCAGACTTTTAGATTGAGGGTGGTTTTATTTTCCAGCATCACAGTGAATCTGAGCACATGTTTTAGCTAAAGAGTGACTTAATGTTTGGATAACCGGAAAATGTGGGCAGTCATCTAAAGAGGACTATGAATTAGAGAAGTCCTCTTGAGATTTGGAGGTCAAGACAAATATTTTCCAGATGTGGAAACTTCATCTAAAGATATTGAAACTGCAAAAATAAATAAATAAATAAATAAATAAAATAAAATAAAAAAAAAAAAAAAAAAAATATATATATATATATATATATATATATATATAAATAAATCTCAATTTTGTGAATGTCCATAACCCGTCATATTGATGGTGTAGATTTTTGAGAGTTTTTAAGTCAAATGTCAAAAAAAATGTGTTGAGATGTCGAATTGATACAAAAAAATACAAAAAATGAAATAAAAAAAAATCAAGAAATTTGAGTCTGGAAACGCATAAGAACCATGTAATGTCTTTGAATTGGGAATTTGTTTCATCAAGAAAAAATTAATTAAATTGCCAAAAAGAGACTGTATTAAAGTCACAGAAAAATTAAATCTTTTTTCTACCTTTCTTTTTTTTTGCTTCCTTGCTTCTTCTTTCTTTTCCATGCCCCTTAGATCACTTTTATTAACATCTAACAAAACCCCCCCCCCAAAAAAAAAAATCACCAATTGTGAAAATTCTCCATGTCTCATTTGTTTCTCAAGGTTGGTACCCTCGGTGCCGTCTGGCTGTTTTAGTGGTCATTAGTTGAAATGGTTTGTCAAAAAAAAAAAATCCACAGAAACGCAATTGAAGTTCTCAGTTAAATGCCACGTGTGATTGATTTTTCTCACAGGTTTAAAGTTCGGCTCCTTTTTCAAGGTGAAAACCGTATCCAGCAGTCATTTGGAAACTATATAGACCTTTTGTGGACATCTTGTAGTATGCTGCAGATTATTGGATGTAAAATGAATCAATTTTAGTGTCTTTAACAATGTACTTGTGCCAGGCATTAGAAAATTGGCGGAGCACTCTATCAGGTCCGCCACTCCTCTATTCCTTTTGGCAGCGCGCCATTCTCCTTGGCACAGCAGATTGGTTGAATTATAGATCCCGTCCATGCTCCGCTTTTATGTTCATCCTGGTTATTATAAGTATAAATCTTGACAGCTAAAATCTTGAGGGAACAGAGGGAAAGCTCTCTTACCTGTGTTGCAGGAGGCGGCAGAGCAGCTGGTGGTCACGGATGAAAAGGGCCTGGATTGCGAGGTGCAGAGAACATCTCTACTTGGCCACCTTCCCCCTTTTTAACGCTCCACCTGGCCTTTGCTAACCACAGCAAAGAGTCAAAGGTCGTCTCATTAACACCTTGACCTGTAAGCACTCCTGATCTGCTCTGCTCTGGCACCACGTCATTTAATTGACTTGCAGGACCAACTGCGCCGGGGATCAACTCGAGAACCCAGCCACCCAGAATGATACCCATCTCCACATCCCCCGCTGCGTAGTGGCCTCACTGGCACCGTTCAAAAGCTCACAAACACCATATGTCACACTGCGATCACACAGAGTAGATTAGAAGACTTTGAAGCTTATCATTGATCGGCGGCGTTGTGTTTAATTAGTCGATTTATTTTGTTTTCCTTGTGTTTCGCAGGGGTGAGCAATCTGCGGTGAACAATTTCAACATTGTTAATCTCACCGGTGTTATAATCTGTCAAAATCAGTCACAGCTTATCAAACATTACATTTTTATTATCATGATTAACATGTTAAAGGGACCACTGCTGAAATGAGTGCAGTTTAGTTACTTGCATGTAGAAAAACACTTTTTGAATAAAGCAAGATAAAAACAGAGATGCCACCTGGAAGTATAACCACAGGCTAAAAAGGAGAAAATGAATGACTAGTGAATTTAACCCTTGAAATACTAATAAAAAACAAAAAACAAAATCTAATGTTTATTAAAAGTTTATTAGCTTCTCTGGAGATTACAGGGTTTAACACAGCGAGTCTGTTCAAGCGTTAATTTGATAAGTTTAAGAAAGAAAGGAGAAGAATTCAAAGTTTCATCCACCTTTGGTCCTTTAACTTTTGACACTAGAACCACTGCATGGAACGAAAAAAAAAAAAAAAAAAAGGCTCACAAGGTCAGTTTTCCCGCTCACTGAACTAACTGGGTCTTTCATGTGCTCGTTTCCCACAGTGCCGTCTCTGAGCTCTGCTAACAGGGACATTTTAACCATAAACCTGAAAGTTTCCAAATGACACACACACACACACACACACACACAAATCCCAGGTTGTAGAAAAAAAAAAAAAATCTTTCACTAGCTTTAAAGAAAATTTTTATTGATATAGCAAACGATGCGAGGAGCCATGACAACTGGCTGGTCAAACAAACTAAGGTGGACTTGGAGTAAAGCAAGAGATTTGTCAAATTAATTATATTACACACTATTACGGTAGCCAGTGTGCTATCTCATTCAAAGTTTAAACATTATTCTGTTGAATAGAAAAAAAAACTAGCCCGTAATAGTTTTTTTTTTTCTTTTTAATTAATCCATATTTAAAATTTAGATTTATTTATTTTTCAATGCTTTCAGGATTTCTACATTACCAACATATGACCATTCATATAAGTAATTTTGGGCATTAAGAAAATAAACTTGAATTTTAGTCCAATACTTCCCCTCATGAAAAAATAAAAAAAATGTTTTAGAAATTCCAGGGTGGCACCAGAGGAAGTAGGACATATTTTGTATTATTATTATTATTATTATTTTTTTTTAAGCTAGAATGCGACATTTTCAAGAGACCTGGGGGACTAAATGGTTTCTTCAGCGCAACAGGCTGCTCTGAGGAAGGCATTACATAATTGTCAGTGTGGGCCGTAATGATGTGCTATATGATAATCAGCTATTTTCCCTTCAGATAATGCTCGATGCATCGCTCAGAGCTGCGAGCACTGACCACAGAGAGCCTCGATTTAACATGCGACAAGGAACACTACAGGAAAAAAAAACAAAAATGGAGTTCTTAATTGCATATCTTTTTAACTCAGCTTCCAGGCAGCAGCTGCTCTTGATAATTTCAGCGCATCTCCTGGTGGGTGAGCCAGATTTAGATGAAAGTTGACATACTGTATAATTTCTTGCAAATGATGAGTCAATCCCTGAGGTAAGGCGCCGCAGCACTGCATTGTACCAATATTTCTTTGCCTTTGACTTCTAGTGGAACTTTTTTGAGAACGGAAGCTGGAGGGCGCTCCGGAAACAGAATTGTGTTTATTTGTGTAATGAAAAAAAGCATTTAGTATTAAAAAGTTTTGTTTGTTTTTTTCTTTTAAATCACAAGTCGGCAGGAAACTACTTTCTTAATCAATTAGACAAATGGACAAGTTGTCTCAGGGATGCGCTGTACGGCCTAAGGCATACAGCTCAAATCCCTCCGAAACAACTAAATCTCTAACATTGCAAAATAACCGTTTGTATGCACTTAGTTTTATTGTTCTTAGCTTTATTTGATTTTATCTATGCCCATTAGTTTAGCCATGTTGCCTTTTGTTACTCAATTTCCTGTTATATTATACCGAAGCATAATTTGCTAAATAAAGATTCTTAATCTTGATCTAGACAATGTTATTAAAGAAAATGCAATCAGTCTGGAATATTCCAGCCCAGGTTTGACAAGTCTATATATTTTAGGTTTTATGCTTGTCTAATTCTAAGTTGGTTGTAATGGGGGAAAAAAAAAAACATAAAACAAAAACACAAAGGAGCCCTCTCGTTTTATGATTTCATAAACAAAACAGTAAATAAATCTCAAACAGCATTTTAAAGACTCAACGTATTTCAGATCTGGAGCTAGAGGTGAATAAAGACAGTCCAGGTACATTAAAAACCTGTGAAACAACTATCGATTTTTGTCGTTCGCTAACTTTAGCTCATTAGCTGCTAATGGGTAGTACAGAAAAAGAGTGGTAGAGGCTAAAATTAAACGTTGCCCGACTGCCAAACAGGAAGCCTTTACTGGCCTAACCTGTCAACACAATGGGAACACTTAAGAACTGCTGAAAAATATGAGTATAGGAGACAAATGCAGGGTCTTCAAACACTTTTATGTCAGGAAATCATGATAGCTCACACTCCATCGGACAAAGTGAAAGGCTGGCAGTAACTAGAGATGGTGTTTCGTGAGACAGACTGTACTTTTCCAAGACAAATTGTGCTTAATATCGCAAAATCTTGAGCCACGAGATCTTGTTACACTCCTTCTGTTGTTATATAGACCGGCATGGGGTGCTGAACTGCAACTAAAAATGATACACCTCCTTTTATATCCTTTAGCCTTTTCAAGCAGTCCGACAGGCTATGCTAAAGGCCGAGTTGATTTTCCTTCATAGAAAATTCTGCTTAGTTTGCTGACAGTGACCCTGTAGTCTCTGCTGGACCATCTGGTGGATTAAGCAATGACGGTGGCTGGAGTGAGTGACAACAATTCCCTTCAGTCCACACAAATGTTGTCAGACTCGATAGGAAAATTATGTCAGGCCCCGTCTTGTATTTTCAGTACTGAAATCTAACTGCTCCCGTCTGCCTGTCTTGTTTTGTTGGTTTTTTTTTTTTTTTTTTTAAAAATGTGACTTGCATGATTTTCTTGAATTTGCTTGTGCTATTATTCAGCTGGATAAGTATGCTCCAAGCAAATTTTTCCCCTGTTGAGACATTTGAATCTCATTTTCTCTCGATAAAATAGTCTCTCTCACATTCTTTCGGTCTTATTTTTTTCCATTGAGTATCGGGGGTGGGGGAGGAGGTTGGTGGAAAAACAGAGTTCGCTCTTTCCCCAGACACTTATAGTCCAGCTGTTCTCAGGGTCACTCTAGAAGGAAAAAAAAAATCCAGGTCTTCACAGGGGGCATCCTCAGGGTTTGGCATTTAGATTGCCTGCAAGGCATCCTACTCAAACGCCCTGAAGTACCTCAGCTGACTCCCAGAGGTACGGCCGCTATGGTCTTCAAGTGCTTTTGGCTAACTAAGTGTTAGACCAAACATCCATTGCACCACACCCCTATGAAACACTATAATTCCAATTACTACAAAGAAACTAACCACAAACCATAGTTAGCTGTCCGGGGCTGAACACCTTGCAGCTGACTCAACCCTACATGCACAAAGTGGGCGTTGAAAACTGAAGAGTGAATGTCCTGGAAGCAACAAAGAATTACATTACAATCACCAGTTCATCACTGGACAACAGGGAGACACATGGTTCATGCATGATACAGTCATTGACCTAATGATTAGGTTTTGTACTGTGAGAAGGAGGCTGGAGTACCTGAAGAAACCTCAGCATGCATCAAGACAAAATGCAAAAGGTCCAAGTCAGTATTTGAACCCAGGACCTTCTTGCTGCCAGGCTATCGTCCACAGGTCTGGTGATTTTTGGAAAAAGAATAAATGCGGCTAAAATAGAGCTTCCTCTATAGACTGGACTTCGAATTAGGATGAAAAAGTCATTTTGAACATTTAAGACTGTCTAGCATTCCTTAAGCCTTAATCTCTAAAACCTTTTACGTTGGCCACTGCTGTCCTGTGGGTGCAGCTCAGTTATAGGGAGTGTGACTATGCTATGTCTGCAAGAAGTGCTTAAGTTCGTGGCAAAGTGAAACATTCATCTGAAAGTGAGAATGTGGGTTCGCAAAGCAGAACATTAAAGTTTGGACTGCATAAAGACGCTTTAGCTCACCGCAGGAGGCGGGTGAAGCGGTTTCTCTATCCTGCAGGTAAACGACAGCGGGAGGCAGGGAGGTCTTTCAGAACCAGCTAATGACACAGCATCCTTTGAGGAAAAAATAAAAGAAGTAGGTGGGAAGGAGGAAGCTAACCACCACCACCATCTTGACACTCTGATTTCAGAAGGTGTTAAATGTAGAACCAGAAAAGAAAAAAAGGGAAAAAAAATCCCAACTTTGCTGTGCTTTTAAACACATTTCTCAGGGAATTGGGGCAAAGCGGCGAGAGACGCGAACAACAGGCGCATCCTTTCAGGCTGGGTCACGTGGCCGTTTCAGACACGCACATCAAACGGCGCAGAGCACACAGCCACCGCAGTCATGCCGAGACAGACAGGAGTTGGGTGGAAAGTCGGATGGGTCCCTAAGGTGAGCGTTACGAAACTCCTCTTCCAACTGCAGTCAAGGAGATAAAAGAGAGTGCGGAGTTCAGTCTGCAGAGATGGTGTTAATCTGCACTGATAGAGGGCCTTTTTACCC